GGTATCAGTCTAGAAGGTTTGTGGGATAGGATCAAAATTTGAAATTAAAACTGATTTTGTTTCTAGCCTTTATCCGTGAAACCATTTATGCCTTTTTTTTTTTTTTTTTTTTTTTTTTTTTTTTTTTTCAGTTTTCAAAATCAGTTTCTATGAATTATCCGAAACCAGATTTTTTTTTTTTTTAATAATAAATCCGAAAATGGAAAATAATAATTATAAGATTTATTACTTGAACATATAAATTTGAGAATAATTATAAATTTAAAATTTATACTAGAAAATTCGTTGACTGAATATACTAAAAAATTTGGGGTATTATTGGTATGGGAAAAGGCCCAATTACAATTAGATTTATAACTAGCTTTGATTTAAAAGCTTATACGGAATTATATTGTATTAATCCAATTTAAATATAACCTCAAGTTGGATGTCACAGTGTCCCACTAACAATGGCTTTTGCTAGGAATTGGGTTAATTTCAGAAAAAACAGGGGAAATTTGAGGTAAGAGAGAGAGAGAGAGAGAAGATTGGTGTAACTAATGGTTGTATTGCAAAATCCGTGTGATCTTACAGCACAACGATGGCCTTCATTTGAGAGGAAGGTGCTCTCCACAATAGCTACACACTTTCTGGATGCCCAACTAATTACCCTCATTACAGCTTAAATAGCTCTATTACCCCACTCCTAAGCACACCTAAGCATGCCCCCTAACAGAATTATATTCTGTTTTACACAAAGACTAATAAGCCCCCATAACAGAGTTTATTATTATAACAGAATGCCCTTAACCAAAACTGAAATGCAAAACTGAAATGCACTAGCCATGCTGCTTCAAATATTTCCACGCTTGCGCCTTGCATAAGTTGTTGTAATAGGAGGCCTGGTTATGTTCCTTGCATTTCAGAAAAATATAAAATTTAAGGTTCCTTTGTAGTTATATTTATCAAATATAACGATCTGTTTATTGTTTTGAATGATTATGAATTTGTTGATTACTTAGGTAAAGGCAAGTCTAAACCTGACTTGCAAACATGCCTCACTAATGTTCTGGTATCACTCAAGGGGAAAAATTCCCACTTATATTTATATTTTGTTTTATGATTTCATCAGTGATTCTTCTACTGCTGGTTTAGTCAAATTTCGGGATCCCTACCCATTTGGTGTAGATCCCAGTTGGCGTGGAAGCCGTTCAGAGCTACCATTTCTTAACTCATTAAAGATGAAGATGTCTATATTGTTGGGTGTGGTGCAAATGAACTTGGGGATCATATTAAGTTACTTTAATGCAAGGTTCTTTAGCAACTCATTGGATGTAAGGTACTGTCTTTAGCTGCATATCTGGTCTTCAAGTCTCTATGGTTCATGTGAAATGTTCACCGAGGGACTTATTTTGGTTCTTAGGTATCAGTTTTTGCCTCAGATAATATTTCTCAACAGCCTTTTTGGCTATCTTTCGCTCCTAATTATTATCAAGTGGTGCACTGGATCTCGAGCTGACCTCTACCATGTTATGATATATATGTTTCTGAGTCCTTTTGAGGACCTTGGAGAAAATGAGTTATTCTGGGGGCAGAGACCATTACAGGTAATTATTTGAATCATCACTTTGTTACATCTTAAATGTAGATCTTTCAGATCTTATCAAACCTTGTCATGTGCAGATATTACTTTTGCTACTGGCCATGGTTGCAGTTCCTTGGATGCTTTTCCCAAAGCCATTTATTTTGAAGAAGCTTCATTCTGAGGTAGCTTGAAGTGCTTATACCTGTTTGACATATTTCTCTCTTCCTCAAAGTCATTTCTTTATTTGTGATATTTTATGCTTGGTTAATGATAAAGAAAAACATTTGAGTGATTTGAGACATTCAGTGGTTTTTATAGGAATTTAGGCTTACATTTTTGTATGATTTATAGGACTTAACTAGGTTAAACCACGTGCAATAGATGCATGGTTGTTCAATTATTATTTAAAACGATTTTTTTAAGGCCACATGTAAAATTATATTGATCGAACAATTTAGTAGATAGCCACATATAGAATTATATTGATCAATTTAATATTTTAGAAAGTTTGGTTTATATTTTATGTAAAGCAAATGTAATAATTTAGATACAATCTTTTCTTAAAGTAATAATTTTTTAAAGCAAGGATTATTGGAGGATATTTTTTACCAAGTGTTATTCGAGGGAAAATTTTTAACACAATGCTGCCAAGTGTCCCTATTGGTTTCGTCTATGTACTACATTTACGGAAGAGAATTTAATGTGTCATCTTATTTAGTAATCAGGATGATATCAATTAAGATCTTCTTTATGCTCATTGGCCATGTCAGCTTCTTTGCTTTGCTTGATGTTTCTGCTTGTCCCTCTTTTTACCATATTGCTTCACAGAGATTCCAAGGGCGCATGTATGGGATACTTCTCTCCACTGAAATGGATCTTGATGTGGAGCCTGACTCTGCACGACAACTCCATCATGAGGATTTCAATTTTAGTGAGATATTTGTGCATCAATTAATACACTCCATAGAGTTTGTCTTGGGTGCTGTTTCGAACACAGCATCATATCTACGTCTTTGGGCTTTGAGGTACAAGATTTTTTTCATTTCTTAATGCTTTGCAGCTGTTTAGTCTTGTTCATCGAACTCATATTCTACATTGACCATGGTTCCATATTGACAGCTTGGCTCACTCAGAATTATCAACCGTGTTCTATGAGAAGGTCCTGCTCCTTGCCTGGGGGTGAGTGTTCATGGTCAATTTGTCTTATTTACTACTTCCCCCGCCCTACCCCCACCCCCCAACCCGGAGAGGAAAAAGAAACAAAAGAAAGTTAGTGAAACCCACTGTTTCATACTAGTTGGGCTCTGTGTTTCATTATGTTTTAGAATTTGAACAGTAAGTAATAACAGTAACTAAACTTCCTTACTAATTTTATGTGCAAGCATATAAAGGGACATGTTAACTGAAATTAACAAGGTAATTTAACTTCTATTGAAGGTAATTTTAACTCTAATCATGTCATTTATCTAAAATATATTCTCAACTAGTTGCTCTCAACTTGCTCAGTTTGCTGGATCTTCATGATTATTAATTTATTATTATGGTGTGATATCCTTTTTATTTAAATTCATTTTGCCGTTAGGTTTTTTGCATAAAGCTTGTTTTCTGCAATAGATCTAATATAAGGAAAGATACCCGTCATGCTTTTGTTTGATTATTGTGTTTGATAGTTATTATTGTTATATCTTCAGGTACGAGAATCTTGTTATCCGGTTGGTGGGGCTAGCTGTGTTTGCCTTTGCAACTGCTTTCATACTGCTTATGATGGAGACTCTTAGTGCATTTTTGCATGCTTTGAGGCTTCATTGGGTGGAATTTCAAAACAAGTTTTACCATGGCGATGGTTATAAATTTAAACCTTTTTCCTTCGCCATACTAACAGATGAGGATGATTAGTCAACTTTTTGTAAAGTTTGAGTCTTTTAGAGATTAGTATAGTGAGAAAAGTAGCTGATGCTCCCAAGTCCCTGCAGAAGCTTGAGTGGGCCATTCGAAAACAAGTTTTGGCTGGCTGACGTGAAAGTCCTTCAGGTGACATTTTCTGCATATTTACGAAAAGTGGACCTCACATACATTCTTCCATTTGATCATAATAGTGTTTCTTACAGTTGTGTCAAAGCCAGGAAAATGAAATCATCTTCTGTTAACACCACCACCCCCCAAAAAAAAAAAAAAAAAAAAAAAACAGTAAGCTAATAGGGATTTTTGTAAAGATTGACTTCTTGTTTTGGATCGTGAACATTTTATGCAGAGCTATAAACTGGAGAGCTGTTTACGAGATTCCTCAATTTGTCATTTCAACTTCTTTTTTTTTTTTTTTTTTTTTTTTTTTTTTTTTTTTTTTTTTGGCAACGTCAAACAGTCAACTTATCGATGTCGCAATCCCAGTACGATGATTCTTTACGAAAGTTTCTTGTATTTTCATGCTCTATACCCCCTTTAAGCCTTAGATTTGACTAAAAAAAAAAAATGGTTGGTATTCACTGACATTGAAGCCCTAAATTGAAATCTCAATTTTGTGATACCCTAAAATTTAGCTCGGGAAAGATTTAATCGAATCATTCACAAAAAATTTGTCATATTTTAATCCTCAAGTTATAAGCCCCATGTTTACAGAATTCGAAACATATAAGTGATTCATTCATGAAAGTTTCTTATTATTTCATACTTTAAAGCTATGCATGCCATCTCATAATTTAGAAAAACAACAGTTGATTATAGCCTAAAATTGAATCAAAATCCAAATTTCATGGCCACATAAATTTCAGCATAGAACATTGTATGGTGATTGTTATTTCATGAAAGTTTTTATGATCATACTCTAAAGCCCATTCGTCTTACAATTCAATAAAACAAACACAAATGATTGGGTGAGTTTGTTGCACCGCAAGTTCAGCCACCTAATACATACTCTATATATTACGTGTAGCACTGTCAAAGTGGTTTGGATAGTTAGGTTTGAAAACGGGTCAGTTTGAAATCGGTTTAAGTGTCTTATGGGCCGGTTTTGGTTCGGTTCAAAATATTATCGGTTCGGTTCAATTTCGGTTTATTCTTGAGCGGTTTTAATTCGGTTAGGGTAATCAACGGTTCAGTGCGAACGGTTTTTTTCCTGATTCAAATGGTTTTGAGTTGGAAACGGTTTGATTCTTTTTTGGTTCGGTTTCATTTCGGTTTGGTTTAGAACGGATTCGGTTCGTTAACGGGTTCGAATGATTATGTGTTGATACTGTTTATGCGATGAGAAAACCCTAGATATATAATGTGTTTGACATTGTTCCATTAGGTGATAGATTTGAGCTTGTTACTTTGACTACTATATTAATGGACTGCATTCAATTTTAAGATTTATGGTTTAGGTTTAGGGTTTAGGGTTCTATCTTTTGTATCTCTGGGCTCCTCATCTCTAGTGCGTCTTTTAAATTTTTTTATATAGATGACTTATGGTGATAGCTGTAGCCCTAATACAACATTGCAGAAAAACTGCTTGGAACTAGGAAGTTGTAGATTTTGTTTGTTTTGAGAAAATCTGCAATCATCATGTGAGGGAGGCTGAGCTCATGCTCTTAACTTGATGAGCTGAAATGAAATTCACGAGATTGAAAGAACACTGATATTCCTATAAGAACACTGTCATAATCTTGAGTCTCATTTTTGGTTGTCTTGACAAAAAAATTAATTGGAAGTATTTCATTGTAGCTGAGTTGGAGACCTTCTAATGTACAGGCCGGAAGAGCAGAAGAATTCCTTACGATTATACTTAAACTGGTTAAGCCTAGAGTCCTTGTTACATGATTGCCTTTTCTTAGCGAATATTTATAAACAACTGTGCTCATAAGCATTATCATCACTTGGTCAAACAGAAAGGATCACCTGGAACGACTCTTGTGAGATGTTGAATTGGATTCTTGCATCAAATGATTCTAGGTCTGTCTTGACTTGGATCTGTATTCATGTTTTCACAAATATTTCTTGGCATGCAGCATGCCATTCACTTTTATGCACTGCACTAGTAACATGGCATCCAAAGGTTTCTCCTTTATTTCTGAAAATTATATTAATGTACCTTGATTGCATGAAGTGTGACCTAATGGTTACGATGATGATCGTGCTGCTTCTTTTCTTCTGCTAGTTTAGTCATCTCCCTTCATGTTTGAAGAGATTTGTGGAATTGTCTATTGAAAATTGTTAGTTTTTATTTAGGCTCCGATATCTACTGGTGGCATCTGATTGAATTGACTCAGAAGAATAGTTCATCATCTGGTCAGCATTTCAACTCTGCTCCAGTAATAAATACTAAGATAGCCAGTTAGGGTAAAAATTAGCATGTCATCTCCTGTGGGTATCTTTCTCCTCCTTGACCATGCCTGAATAGGAGAGGAACAGAAGAATGGTTTAAATCTTCCTTCATCTAGTATTAGCACTGTGCTTGGCTTTATGGCTTGCAAATTACAGTCTATAAATCATACTGTAGGAGTTGGTCTGAGCCATTGCTTTAATCAAATTAATCTAGTCATGGTTCCCAAGAATATATGGAACTCTATGTCCATACAGATTTGGCTTTTCTAAGAGATTTTTGTGATGGAAATCTAGTGCCTTCTGTCTCAAACCTATATACTGTTGAGTAGGCGTTGAGAAAAGGAATCAACAAAATGCAAGTAGAGAATAGGAGGCAGAATATGAAAACAGATTGCGATATTTTCCTTACTAATTGAGTGAAGTGGTGGAACTGTGATAGAAATTTACCGTTACTTGAGCTGGATTCAAGCAATTTAGGATTATACACATTAGCTTATGTGTCTCTGGAGTCTGATATTTTGCCATCTGTCCGTTCTATCATATGCTACAGACCTGTCTGCAACTCTTATGAATATTTAAAATACCATGTCGTGCATATCTGCCTTTCTTTTGCAGAAGTACGGCTACTGGCCTACTTTATATCTGCCCTATAACCCCTGCCTGCTATACTTATGAGGGTTTTCAGAGTATTGTTGTTGTTGGATGCTCCAAGTTCATTACCATCTTCACCATCATAGTTTTGGCTAATGCTATGAATCATGATGTTTGCAAACAGAGACTGAGTGGTCCACCTGGAATGTCGATGGACTGACAAGGGGCACATGCGAGAGGAAATTCTCTGAAACGTGTTGAGGCTTCGACTGGTTGTCGTGTGTACATTAGGGGTAAAGGATCAATTAAGGATCCAGACAAGGTACTATCCTGTGCAATGTTGCATTGTGAACTGTTTGTTATCGTTTTATAAATATAAGTTGGAATCGATTGTTGATTCCTGTAAGTTTATGTCCCTTATTCTTGTAGCTTATGTGGTTTTTCTTGGTTTATGATTCTAGGAAGAGAAGCTTCGAGGAAGACCTGGTTATGAACACCTGAATGAGCCACTTCACATTTTGATTGAGGCTGATATGGCTCCCAATATTGTTGACATAAAGTTGCGCCAGGCTAAAGAAATTCTAGAAGAATTGCTGAAGCCTGTGGTATGCAACTTCAATGCCTTTAAGACCTACTCTTATTGTTTGGCGTCTCTTGCCTTTTTGTTTTGGTTAATTGGAATTTTTATTAGCAGGACGAATCACAAGACTTTTACAAAAGGCAGCAACTTAGGGAGCTTGCTATGCTGAACTCGAATTTCAGAGAAGACAGTCCTGGTCCAAGTGGAAGTGTATCTCCATTCAATACTAGTGGGCTGAAGCTTGCTAAAACAGGACGTTAATTATTTTTCTGTATGTCTGAGTCATGGAGCTGCCTCTGCGTCGCGTCAACGTCAAAAGGCTCACCTCCCAAAAGTGCTGACTGTCAGAGTGAGCACAACAGCTGCATATAGGGCAACAGTTGTTCGTGGTGAGCTAATTGGTGGGTCATTTCCCGTCGTTTTTCCTCCCTTCTCCTTTTCTATTTGTCATCTTAAAGTTTTTATTTTCTTTTTTTCTAATCTTTATTAATCTCTATTCTGGGAGAAACAGTTTGGAAAGGGTAAAAAGGAAGAACAAAAGAAACTATTTCCAAAAGAAAAAAAAAAAGGGGAAAGTCATTGTAGTGTTTTTGGGTTAAGTTTTTTTGGCATTCTGTCAGGTTCTTGTAAGTTGTAAGCTATTATATTCATTGGATTTATTCGTGTGTTAGCAAACGTGAACAGTGTGGGTATATAAATATAAGTATGAATATTGCACATTTGGGCATTGGTATTGTTGTACTTCTATGTGTGCTATGTTACGAGTGGCTTGAGTAAGATGGTTGGCTCGATATGAATGGGGGTTGCCATAATTGTCGATGGATTATGGTAGGCTCTGAGAGTAGTGGTTAGAATTTAAGCTAAGCATTCGTAAGCAGTGTGGTTTAGAGCGTAGGGTGGAAGCTAGTGAGTTGGCGTAAATGGTGAATATTGATCCCACAATGGGGTTTGATCTGCATGAAATAAAATTTAGGGCATCTGAAAGTGTAAAATCGCTTTTTAGGCCATTGGATTCCATAAAGATATGGGGTGAGTAGAAATGTAAATGTTGGTTGGAAATGGGGTGAGCTGGAATAGCTGGATCACGTCTGGGTTGTGGCTGTGGCTGCTTCACAAGTATAAAACCAGCGGGGATTGCATTATTTGTTGCCGACCATAAACCAACCTTCCCAATCCCAGGATTCACATACTATTTCTGTTGGAAGTTGGAACTATCTATTTCCCTATTGGCTGTATACCATTATCACTCCTTCCCCCTCCACCTACCTCTTTTGTTTATTTTGTTGTTTGTCTACATTGATTGATAACATATTCTTTCCGTCTCTAAAAGTTCTTATTGTATTTCTTGTTTGATTGTGTACATCTTTAACCACTAATCTTTCTAATTACGAATTGTTATTCTTAAAATAGTATTTACATGCCTGTTTTTTCATAATAAATTTAGAATGTTTACGCAAATTTTGAAGAGTTGCAAAATTATAAATAAGAAATTTTTTAAGAGAGAGTATTAGTTGAGCTTAAAATTGTATGCTCTTCAATTTGGGACAAAAGAAGTAAAGGGTTTAAATGTTTAATACTTTACCACCTCACTAAGTTTTTTCAAGAATTGAGGTGTAAATAGCAAATTACTTGTAAGGTTTGGTTCAATAGATTTTTTTACTACGAATTATAAAATTCCTTTTGCCGATAAGTAATTTCATTTAACATGCTATCAAAATGTCTACGATTATATATACTATTTTTTTTTTTAAAAAAAATTCATATTTATTTTTTATTTATGGAGGAGGAAAGACAAAGAGTAACCTATCGCATTGGCTCATTGTGGATGATAATATACGATAATACTCCGTGACATTTAATAACTTGATTTTCTAATTGAATCCATTTAGGTTGTAGATATAATAATACTCCGTAACATTTAATGACTTGATTATCTAATTGCACCCATTTAGGATGTATGACGGGAATTGAAATAAATCGAAGATTATCATTATAAGCCGAAAAATCCTTACAATGACAATGTTTTTAGTTTTCCTCGTGTAGAATATATAATCGAGCATCTTCTGGCCCCAAAAAATTATGGTCCAAAAAATATAAACCTTAAAAATAATTCATGTGCAAAATTATCAGAAATGTTTGTCATGTTAGCTTGGATGCCAAAAAGAATGGAGTCTAGTAACGTGGATGGTAGGGTTGAATGGAAAACGCCAAAGCTAATTAATTAGTCAACACCATGATTTTGACTTGGCTTGTGAAACAAAATTAAAAGTAATCGATTAATAATCAGCGTATAAGTATGTAGGTTTCATCAGACAATCAATAACAAAGGTCGGTCCCATTTTATTTTTTTTATTCATCTCCCTAAATCTTACAGCACAAGTATGAAAATATGTACTCATTTCAGATTGTTCTTCATGAGTTGCTATAATTATGTTATTATGTGTTTTCTTTTTTAAGTCTTCAAGATTAATTTCCAGAATACAAAATACTTAGGTGTATAAAAAGAAAAGATATACTATGATGATGTTTATTGCTTGTTTACAAAGTTATAAATTAAAAGGAATGCTAATAGCAATAATTATAATTCATGAAACATTAATTTTCCCCATTAGTACCTCGTCTGTGGACATTATTAACTTTGTACATCGTATTATTATAATGATATACGAAGTAATAATTAATGTTTAGTATCTTGTATAGTCATGTTTATTCTTCGTTCCTTGTATTTTGAGCAAAATTAAAGGTGTACATTTTTGGTGATATTGTACCTCGTAAATTTGCATTAATCAAATTCAAAGAAAATTTTCTAAGGTGTCTCAGGTAAAATCTCCATGGTAAGAGTTTTTAGCATCCATGCACGCCTAGATTTTGTGAAGTCGCAGAAGTATAGCGTTCGACTTCAACAAAATGCACGCCCAGATTTTTCTCCATGCTGAAGGAGTTTTAACCCTTCATCAATTTAGGATTTGTTAACAACCATTTCTGAAACGAAGAATTATTCGAATTGAAGATTTACTTCAACTTTGGCCTGAGAAAGGATTTAAGAGGATGAAGAAATTGATCGAGGTATGAACTATGATATATAATCCACAGGATAAAAAAAATCTCATAAAATTAACAGACTAATCATTTAGTCCTCAACAAGCTAAAAACTATTACTCGTACTACATAGAGAGAACCAAGGGAAAAGCTAACCCTATCACACAAAACATCAAGACAACTATAACAAATTTGTTACAAAGTGCGCTCTGGTCCAAACCTATGACTGTTGTGGTGGTTGAGTAAGAACTTCTCAATACAAGAGTTCTTCAAATACATCGTATAAAACATGTAGATTATCAGATTATGATTATACAAGTCCATTCACTCAATTCTGCTGAAAATTTTCAAGTCAAAGGAAATCTTGTCTTAAATTATCGCCTAGTCACAAACAGATATCGAGGATTTCTCATGAATACGCTTCAGCTCTTGAAAAATATCACATGACGTTCCCCATAATCTCTTTGCAAGCATTTTGTTGTAGGACAAGGGGGAGGAATTGATTGTCCTGCCTTTGCCACCAAAGAAATACATTCCAGAAGTTTCCTGTGACAATATTACCACGGCATTAGATTAACAGAAATTAGATCACTAGCAAGGACGAGGGTTACGGTAGGCCAGTGACAACCAATGTAAATCTATGTCACATCACATGACATGAGGCCATGAGCCACAATGATTGAGTAGTACTAGGATGGGTGACTTCCTATGAAGTCCTCGTGTTGGTTCATGTAGCCGATCCCCCTTATGGGATTAAGGCGTTCAAGCAAGCAGATCACTAGCAACATTGGTGTTTAACTGAAGCTTGTATAAAGGCAGTACAAACAGTTCTTACAACAGCTGATGGATTAATGACACTGAAGCAGGAATTAATACTAAGTAGGAGTAATAGAGACGAGTTAAATAATATCGAGGTTGTAGCAGGTCAAATTGAGCATTTAGAGAGTGGATTTAGTATCAACATAGGCAAGGATTTAGGATTACAGTCCTGTGAAATTAGACAAGAGGGACTGAGGTAGCTAGCTATAATTGGGTGCTCCAAATAATTTAGGGATATATTATACAAAGGAATGGAGATCTGATGAAGATATAACTCAGGATTAATGGTGGTCGTGCCATAATATGAAAGTCATGTTGCAAATATTTATTGCTCTCAGTCTTTGCCCGAAAATTCACCAGAAACGCTTTAATTATCATCAAATAACACTATAAATGGAGCAGGGATCTTTGTGTTAATGACCCTGCATAATTCTTTCAACAAAATACTTGGAAAGACCTAATATCTGATACATAATCCCAATTTTTAGACAAAAGACTGTTCCACTCTCCAAAGATAATGAAACCTTGATGATAAATTGCAAGAAAAATTTTGTACTTTGACCTCACTTTTTTCCAACTAAACCCAAAAAAAAAAAAAAGTTCCAAATCGTATCCTCAATTTTTTCAATAGACCAACGGGGCACACTGTCTTATGCATATACTGTGTTAGGAGAGTGAATGGGTTAAGGATATACTCATATTTGTTTGTGTTGTGAAGTAGCATATTTTACATGGCACAGACTTTTGAGGTGAGTCAAGAAGTTGAACTTGTCTAGATACCATATTGAAGCATTGCTGCAAAATGTTAGTATGTAATGGTAAAGGATCCAAAGGTTCTTACAGAAATGCGCTTTGACATTTTGGTGGGTATCATTCCTTGAAACAAGCGGTAGAAAAGAGAACAGGGCGACAAAACTATGTTTCTGTGGGATCAAGCTATAAGTGTTTCTTCAGTCACTTACTTCATTGGAACTATCAGGGGTTTCTCAATTATTAAGGGAACATTCAGGGGTTTCTCTTCAACCATATGTCAAGGTTTGATTGGCATACCCTAATGGATAGCTGACGAGGATACCCGGTCAATTGTGCCTAAAAAACAACTTTTCTTAGGCCCCCTGGCTCAGACATATTTCTCCTTTATTGATATATTTAATACCAATAGAAAGACTAAGTTCCACAAGGATGTAGTACAAAGTTTAATAACCTTACAGGTGGAGCAAGGGCTGCATCAAGAATTGAGCTGATCCCTTTCTCTGGAAAGTGCAATATTCCCAGAAATCTTAGGACTGCAAATGCTAATTGAGAAAGACATTGTGGTATTTCCCGCATGATGTTGGTTCTCACTGCTCCAGGATCTGCAACACTACAAAAGAATGAAAAAAAAATATATAAACATGACAGAGAGTGGTGATCGGCATTATGGACAGCTACGCATTTGTCAATCATCAGAAAAGCTACACATGTATAGCAGTAAGTTATAGGAGCTTAAAAACTCACAGAATGAGAAATATATCCATTTTAAATCCTGATACCCATACACTCATGTACATATGTAAGGAAAGAGGAACTGAAAGTGTGTTCCAAGAAGTCATAAGAAAATGGCAAAGGATCAAACTTTAATGATCAAATAAGGGTGTGCCCAATTGCTCATAACAATCAATAAACTAATGGAACATATATATATATATATATATATATATATATATATAACAAAGTTCAGTTCCTGTAAATGGGAAGCTAAGCTACATTTACTTTAAAAAGTCTTCCTAATTCACGTATATCAATGTTCCTGCTCCGCTGCAATGCATAAATAAGGGAAAGGCTATTCATAGTCATTCATCCTCCTATGTCCTATGACTCATCTCAGCTCAGTTTTAGACTCTACAACTCAGTTTCAGATTTTTGCAAGACCTTGGGAACCATATTTTCACAACAAAGAAAAGAAAATCAAGTACCATTTAAAATGTAACGAACAGAGCACAAAGATATCTATGCTTCTTTGACTAGATATAATAATCTTACTTGATAGATAGTTGAGAATCTTTGTCCTTGGAAAATTGTCGATGAAGCTCATATGAGAAAAGCAGTATACACACTGCCAATAAATGCCCAATACGTTGAACTTTAAACTGTCGAATATAAATGTTTACCAACCAAATGATGTTGAGCAAAAGTTGACTTACATTTGGAGCACCCATATATCTGAGCAAATGGATATTGCTTGAAATTTGAAAAGGATTTGCCATAAACAAGCTCCTCATCAACTTGCACATCATTCACTAAACCAACAAATGATGAATACCAAAAAGTTTACACTCGATACTCATCCAGTAACTATCGAAATCTAAAGTAAAAAAGCCTTAGAGCTGTAGATGGATAAGTAAATAGTTTTTGTTTTGCCTAGCATGAAAGTTCTACACAACAAAGCCATATAAAAGTCCTAAGTTAGCGTAGCAAGCCAATACCACTTTTCCTTCAAAGAGCAACAATAAATTGTTCTGAAAAACTATTTTAATAAATGTAAGGCAAGTCAAACTCCTACATCATATTTTTTTTACTATGAAAATATGAACATGCTTACATGAATACACACCAATCTGTTAAGGAGTATATAGAAGGTCCAACCTTAAGAATCCTTTTCGATTCTTAAATCTAATCAATACAAGGCTTACACATTGGGCATTATTCAAGTGAAAGTTTTTTATCCCATGGAGCCAGATACATACAAACATGATCATAACTTTCTAGTAATTTGGCCAGAAAGGCAATTCAAAACAAGGATTTGATGATAATTGAACCCTTTTTAAAGACATTCACAGATATGAGATAAAACAAAACTACTAACGAGCCTCACTCATCAGAGGAGGAAACATTCAAATGACTATGATCAGAGTAATATGATTACCCGTTCGATGCGTAAAAGATGATACACTGACTATACGTGATGGAACAGGACTGTTCATGAGTAACGGTAGTAAAACTTTCGTGAGACAGAACGCCCCTAAGTAGTTTGTCATCATCATCCTAAGAAAGTTTACAAACAGATAATCAGTATTCATGCATTGTCCGTCTGGAGGAAATGAAGCAGGAAACGAAAGTTTAACAACTCAGACTTAACTAGTTTGAACTTATTAGAGCTTACCATAGTTTTCAATTGAACTTGGGTAATTCTTACTATCCCTAAACTAACATGTGCCTCTAACAAACTAATGGATGAATTACATTCCTTCCTCGTTAATTTCAGTAGTAGAAATTATGAATCAGTTTTTAGGAGTGAAAAGCATGGAGTTGACTTAGGATAACAAAAAGGTGGCAAAGAAATGACATGATTACTCATCCAAACCATCATCAGTGGGTCTGTATGATGTTGCTAATATCCCAGCATTGTTTATCAACAATTGGATTGAAGGATGCAGATTCATATCCAACAGCCACTGCGTCAAGGAGTTCTTTAGCTTCATAATGGATGAAAAGGATGACAAGTCGACCTCAAACGCTTCAAGCTGAGCATCTTCATTCTGTTTACGGATCTCAGCCATAGTCTGTCCACACAGAATATGTTTGTTGAAAGATGAAAGAAGTGGGTTTAAGCACAAAATCGTCAAAATACACAATCAACCCACATTTTTAATAAACTAACCTTTGACAAGAGATGACCTGATCTTCCAACTGCACATATGGAGGAAATCATGCATCAAATATACACTACACTGTGATCTAGCTCTTATGAAAACCAGCTAAGTAAGAAATCCTGACATCCAGGAAGAATGATGCTTATGAAAAACTACGTAAAGCGGGATCCATGTATTCAAGGGGAAACTAAACATTAGAATGAGAAAACAGAAACAAGAAAAGACACACAGAGGAATACCCAAGATAACAAAAAAGCCTTGTTTCGATAGAGCTTTGGTGGCAGCAGCTCCAAGGCCTGATGTAGCCTGCAAAAACAGGCATAACTTGATGTACGGAAAGTAAAAAGAAAGGAAAAAAGAGAGAAAAGGAGAAGAAAGATTACACCGGTGACAATGCAGACGGGTCTGTCAAAAACAAGTTGTCTTGGGAAAGTGGTGGAGTAGTGACGCCCACGGAAGAGGCGCAAGTGAGAGAATACAAGATAAAGAGGCCACAGCAAACTCATTCTCATAAATTCAATGGAACATATGAATTTTATAACTCTGTATATCCCCTTCATCTCCATTCTCATTCTTTCACTCACACACTGCAAAATTAATCAAGCTTGACCAATTACATTAATACAAATGAAACCCATTATTCCTATTCATTCATTCATTCATTAATATAATCAAGTGATCCTAATCAAAGGTAAATAAATTCGGCCCAAAAATTGACATCTTTCAAATTAAAATTAGCTAATTTTATGATCGTCTAAATCCAATCTAAGGAGTAATTAATCAATAGGGCTAGTGATTATAAAGGAACAAAAAGAGTTTCTCCATAATAAAGATTCGAACCTTAGACCGAATTAGCTTCCTCTTGGGTTGAGCATTCAGAGACTCCCACAAAGCGTTAAAAATAAGAGTTTTTCGTTTCTATAAAATTTGTAAGTCAGTAGTGTGATACAGGGCGATTAACAAGGCCACTGACTTTTTCAGTTGTTAGGTTCTACCCCGTACATACTATATACTACACTCATTTCACCTACGGCAAAACCAAACTATTTTTTTTTATTTTTAATTATTTTTATTAACTGTGTGGAGCGATTACCATAAATGCTCTAAGCCTATAAGTAATTCCTTGCACGTTGATTTTAAAACTATTTTTTTTTTATGATATAACATTTGTGGAAATCGCTCATTTAGTGTCTACCAAATATAAGAAAAAGGAAATAAATACGAATAAAGCGACCATATGGGAGGAAATACAATTTTTTAACCTTGATAAACAAATTCTTAATTCTTGTACTCGTATATCAAATGACAATTTCATAAATAACATGCATTGACATTCGTGCATATACATTAAAAAGTCATATCCACCTAGAATATACCTTAGAGTAACTATGTTAATGGAATTTCTTGATTCAACAATAATGGAGATGAAGAGAGGAAGAAAGTGAGGAAGAAATTGAGGAGGAAGAGGAGGAGGCAGAAAATACGAGAGAGAGAGGAACAGAATATTATAGTTAATAGTCCTCAAATATGTGCAAAAACAACATTTTTATACACATATCCACAATACAACTTATTATAGCAGCAGAAAATTTCACTCAATTGAAACAAAAAAACCTGAACTCGGCGACAAAGTCCAATGCAACCACATTCGGCTAAAAACAATAAGAATTCGCATTCACCTTCAACATAAATGTATTTACAGTTTTACACAATCCACCAAAATACAAAATTGAGTAAATTAGCTAGAAACAATTATCTACAAACAACTTATTTATATAAAACTAAGCCCTAAAAATCACAAAATCATCAAAAACAACTAACCTGACTAACAATTTTGGCAGAAGAAAACCAGAGAAAAGGGGAGAAGAGAGAGGGGAGAGAGAGGGAGGAGAAGAGAGAGAGTAAATGGCTGCAACACAAGGGGAATAGTGAAAGCCAATAAATCCCAACCACTATGGTAGATTCCAGATTAAAAAAAAAAAAAAAAAAGCTTTAACGGGTTTTTTCGGGTACCCGCCAGCTACACAGACCGGCCCATGACCTGACCCGAGAGTTACACAGATTTCCCGGGTCGAGTACCCGACCCGATAAATTGATTTTTTTTTTTTTTTTTCAAAAACTACCCGACTATTTTACACCGGGTCGGATCACCGGGGTCAGGTATTTTTGAACACCCCTAATGCTTAGTAGTTCGAACATAGGTGACATTGGCACTAAGTTGGGTTTGAACTTAGGTAGATGGGTTAGAACTTTGGCAGTGTACACTACAAGGCACGCTAAATTGTTTTCTGTATGATGTTAAGATAAGTTTGGCAATCCGTTTGCAGAATGTATTCGTAATAAGTAGTTTTAGTTGTAGAGTAAATTACACATGATGATGGTGAAAATTGGTACGTGTAGTTTATCTCGGGTTGCTATCTCAAATTCAATTAAACCAAAATTTTGTAGCATCAAGTTAAGCCAAAAATAATTTAAAGAACGGTTATTAAATTAATTTTGGTTTGTGCACTAAAATTAAATTTAATTAAGTTGGACTTGTTTTATTTTCAATATTGCTCAATATTAGTTCTAAAATCAATTTATAATTAATTTTTATGTCACACAAAAAAATCGGAATAAAACTCCACTACAGTTTTGTAACTGTTCATTGAGTGCCCTGACAACTCAGTCATTTTTATCATGCACAACAATTGTGTTCCATGCTTTAGCAGAAGGTCTAGCGCTGGGAGTCGCAGCACCAAAAGCTTACGGGCTTGGCCAATATATTTGCTGCCTGTGTCTTTACACGGGCTAATCCGTGGGGCTGCAGCGGCAAGCCGCATATATGGGGCTACAAATAGTTGACATGGGTCTATTGCAGCAGCTACACTGATTGGGGTGCTAGGCCCAGTGTCGGCAATTGGAGCAATAATAACGGGAATAGACTATAAGGGGCAAAAAAAAAATTATATAAAATTAACTCTATAGTCTTATAAAATAAATTAAAATGTTTACCAGAAAGTGAATAATTGTTGTGAAATTAATCTAAAAATTGTAACTATACAAAATTAAATCTATGCATTGGAATTTTTTCATCGTCCCCAATCGCCCAAACAATAGTATTTTGGAAAATTGAATCATTATTTTGTTGTCGCTGACGACAATGCGTGCGATATTGCTTCTTATTTGTAATGACTGAAAAGTATTTAATGGAGTAAAATTTTCCTTCAATCAATTTTGAACAAAATTGTAGAACAAAGTTGACTTTAATTGAGGCATGAACGTAATTACCCTGTAATAAAAAATAAAAATTAAAGTTAATTTTATGACTTAATTAAGCTACTTAAATCACAAAAAAAAAAATTTAATCATAAGTTAATTGATAAAAACTAAAAGGTGCATTAAAAGATTTAATAAATGTAAACGATTTATAAAGATATAATACCTCCTCATCCAATAGGATCATCAGGCGAGAAACTCGTACTTTGGTACTCCAAAGATTTTTGCTCGAATATAATTTTCTGATTAAATTAGATCTGCATGTAAAAACAAAATTCAGTAAACAAAACATAAACATATAACCATTAAATATCCCAAATAAACACAATTTAAGCAATAATCACAAATATACATTTAAACATGAGTTTTAAAAATTAGGCTAAGAATTACCCGGCCATTAATGACCTAATAAAACTGACACAAAATTAATGACACAAAATTTGCTTGGTTTGGTTTTGTATTGATACGAAATTTTGCTGGTGTCATATGATGCGTCAATTTATAATGGTAAATATCACAAATTTTAATTTAATTATAATTAAGGAATAATTTTCATTTCTTATCATAAACACTATCAAAATTTATCAGTAGGTATATAAATCTTATATCTAAAGATGATTATTTCAAAAGATAATTTTTAGTTTTTTAAATAAATTAAATCCTAATAAATCAATATTTGTTGTTTTTATTTACGTGGAAAAATTCTTAAATCTCATTCGTCACTTTTGTTTAGGTGGCAAACGAATATTTTAATTCCAAAATAAAATAGAAATCTGTTTAGGGTTTAGGGTTTAGGGTTTAGGGTTTAGGGTTTAGGGTTTAGGGTTTAGGTTTAGGGTTTAGGGGGTTTAGGGTTTAGGGTTTAGGGTTTAGGGTTTAGGGTTTAGGGTTTATTTAGGGTTTTAGGGTTTAGGGTTTAGGGTTTTAGGGTTTAGGGTTTAGGGTTTAGGGTTTTAGGGTTTAGGGTTTAGGGTTTAGGGTTTAGGGTTTAGGGTTTAGGGGTTTAGGGTTTAGGTTTAGGGTTTTAGGGTTTAGGGTTTAGGGTTTTTAGGGTTTAGGGTTTAGGGTTTAGGGTTTAGGGTTTAGGGTTTAGGGTTTAGGTTTAGGGTTTAGGGTTTAGGGTTTAGGGTTTAGGGTTTTTTTTAGGGTTTAGGGTTTATTTAGGGTTTAGGGTTTAGGGTTTAGGGTTTAGGGTTTTAGGGTTTAGGGTTTAGGGTTTAGGGTTTAGGGTTTAGGGTTTTAGGGTTTTTTAGGGTTTAGGGTTTATTTAGGGTTTAGGGTTTAGGGTTTAGGGTTTAGGGTTTAGGGTTTAGGGTTTAGGGTTTAGGGTTTAGGGTTTTTAGGGTTTAGGGTTTAGGGTTTAGGGTTTAGGGTTTAGGGTTTAGGGTTTAGGGTTTAGGGTTTTAGGGTTTAGGGTTTAGGGTTTAGGTTTAGGGTTTAGGGTTTAGGGTTTAGGGTTAGGGTTTAGGGTTTAGGGTTTAGGGTTTAGGGTTTAGGGTTTAGGGTTTAGGGTTTTTTTAGGGTTTAGGGTTTAGGGTTTAGGGTTTTTTAGGGTTTAGGGTTTAGGGTTTAGGGTTTAGGGTTTAGGGTTTAGGGTTTAGGGTTTAGGGTTTTAGGGTTTAGGGTTTTAGTTTAGGTTTTAGGTTTTTTTTTTTTAGGGTTTAGGTTTAGGGTTTAGGGTTTAGGGTTTAGGGTTTAGGGTTTAGGGTTTTAGGGTTTAGGGTTTTAGGGTTTTAGGGTTTAGGGTTTAGGGTTTAGGGTTTAGGGTTTAAGGGTTTAGGGTTTAGGGTTTAAGGGTTTAGGGTTTAGGGTTTAGGGTTTAGGGTTTAGGGTTTAGGGTTTAGGGTTTAGGGTTTTAGGGTTTAGGGTTTAGGGTTTAGGGTTTTTTAGGGTTTAGGGTTTAGGGTTTAGGGTTTAGGGTTTAGGGTTTAGGGTTTTTTAGGGTTTAGGGTTTAGGGTTTTAGGGTTTAGGGTTTAGGGTTTAGGGTTTAGGGTTTAGGGTTTAGGGTTTTAGGGTTTAGGGTTTAGGGTTTAGGGTTTAGGGTTTAGGGTTTAGGGTTTAGGGTTTAGGGTTTAGGGTTTAGGGTTTAGGGTTTTAGGGTTTAGGGTTTAGGGTTTTAGGGTTTAGGGTTTAGGGTTTAGGGTTTAGGGTTTTTAGGGTTTAGGGTTTAGGGTTTAGGGTTTAGGGTTTAGGGTTTAGGGTTTAGGGTTTAGGGTTTAGGGTTTAGGGTTTAGGGTTTAGGGTTTAGGGTTTAGGGTTTTATTTAGGGTTTAGGGTTTAGGAGGTTTAGGGTTTAGGGTTTAGGGTTTAGGGTA